ATGTTTTCTCCCGATGACCGTGCTTAAAGCTGGTATGGACTGTATATGACATGTTTTTCCTTTTTTTGTACTAGTTTACATATTATATTTTTGCCCCATGTTTTAAGGACAAGGTAGATTCTAACAAGCTGCAAGAGATCTTTTCTGTAAACACTGAATCCAACAAAATATTACAAAGAACGTACAAGACAAAATTAGGGACCTTGAAAATCCTTTTGCTGTGTGCATGTTTTGCAAGGTGCGTGTTAGAATAGTTTGTGTTTTTCTTTTTGAGACCTGAATGTTCTGATGCTAAATGATTATATTTATTTCAAGATCGATGGCTGGGTGCAAGACTCCGACAAACGCTAATTATGAAAGTCTGTTTGGGATCGTTCACAAATGACGTCGGTGAAAACTTGACGAAAGTTGACATGGGGGGCCATATAAAGTCAACGTCAGCCATGATGCTCTTAAAGGTTGGGAAAAGAAAAGAAAGGAAGAAAAACTGTTATAGACCACATTTTCTTGGCCTAAAATCAACACAGTTAAATTGGACCATATTGTTATTTTTTTGGCCTAAAAACTTAACAGTTCTGGTATTTCTTTGTTGTATTCTTTAATAAACAGGAGTTTTTTGTGTTTTAACTTTAAAAAAGATCAAAGGTTTGAATATAAAATGCATCCTGTACAGCTTCTATCTAAAAATGTACATGTAGCCTAAATTTTGTTTGTCAACTGGAAAGGTGGGGGGGGGGGGGGGGTCCTTGGAAAGATGACAGAAGATGACAAGGAGGAAGAGGGGGGGGGGGGGGTCCATTTTTGGCCAAATTTTAGCTGATGTCAATTGTGGACAGTCCCATAGGGTCTTGCATCCGGCTGTTGACATGTATGTTCAAGATATGAAACTACTGTGTTTTCCACAATACCTGAGGAGTTTGCAAGTATCTTTTCTTTACGGCGCTGTCAAGAGAACCCATTGACTGGAGTCTGTAGTGTAGTAGCTGTTAGGCACTTTGCTTCGCTGTAGCATGCAGTGCAGGAGACCCAGGTTAATTTCCAGAATGGGAGATTTTGTACTGAGTTTCTTCGTCTTTCTGATGGGATGTTGTATCCCTCTCTGCTCGGTCGGGTTAGCCCTGAAAAGCAGGGTCAAAGCCTGTCTCCTGAGTGATGTAGAGTATGTCGACGGGGGCATAAAAAACACATAGATATACATTTATTCATGTAAAACGTCCTTTGTCACCTTTTCTTTCACCAAATGTGTTAGCCAGACGAAAAGTTTACTAGATTGATATTATTTTGGCGCTGTCGGATTTGATAATTTTTTGGGCAAGCTTAGTTTGAACTTTTCCTTTGACAAGTTTGAACTTATATACCAGAGATAATTGTTACATATGTTTGTCTTCTGCTTCTTTCAAGACCTATGTTCCGTAGCCTGTGTTCAAGAAAAAAATACTTGGCTTTATAAAGAAATGCGATGGGTTTGACGCAATTATCATTTTATATCTTATAATAACCAGACAATTATTTCCTATGCTTAAACCAAACTTTAGTAACTGATTTGCAAGCTTTGACTTTGATCTTGACAGAGTGATTTAAAAGTGACTTTTGCGCAACAACACTCTTTTCTTGGTATTCAACTCCCTTTGTTGGAAATTGGGAAAAGAATTCATTACATATATTTTAACTGAATGCTGACATTCCTTGATGACTAACAAAGCTGATGTGATTAATAGCTGTGACCTTGTATATGTTACAAATGACAAGTATCTAGCATCTGCGTTTGTCGCAGACGTGACCCGCGAATCGCGGCCGCGATTTTTGGCCTTTTTTTGTCCGCGAATCGCGGCCGCGATTTTTGCATTTTTCAAAAAGAAAAGGCTACTTCATAGCATAGACGTGTATTTTGACAATCTTAAGGTGTCCATGTAGATCTATACAGTAGTTATTTTCACGCGAAGAATAATAATAGTAGCCCACATTAAATACTATTTATTATTTTGCTGTTTGTCTTTTTTATTAGAAATTTTTCCGTCTTTGTTGGTGAGTTAATTTTTTGGGGGGTTATTTTTCTGATCTCTGTGTGTGTGTTTATATAGCGTAATGTAATTTAATTTGATGTTCCTACATTTAAAATAAATAAATAAATAAATGTGTTATATTTGAGCGTGTCTCCACCAAAACCGAATACTGACACTGGCAGGCCCCTTGTGTGTGATTCCATAATTTACATGTAATATCCTGTACTTTTTCTTGAATAACACACGTTTAGGGTTAAAACGGCCAATCTTCGGATAGGTGGACCCAAGCCCTTATTTGTTACTTTCTGCGGTTGTTAGCGTGCTGTTCTAATTTTGATTTCATTCTGTTGTGAAACCTTTATTTTTCACGTTTTTACAATCTATAGCTACAAATAATATTCTGGATGCTCAAAACAGAGCACAGGAAATTCTGGTGCTTTAGATTGAGTTACCTCTATATATACAATATAATTATGTCGTCACAGTTAGTAGAAAGCTTGAAAAGTAATGGCAACTTTTTTGGCAACTTCTGCCATTTTTGTGGCAACTTTTGGACAAAAAAATGGCAACAAACGCAGATGCTAGAAGTATGCTGCCCTAAGCTGACAAAATGCCTTTTTTCGTTTTTGGCGCCAGACTTTTTTATTTGCTAAATCTAGCTTCTATAGCCTGATCAGTTACCCTGCTTTTGTGAAAAAAAATCAAAGTAAACCTGTGACAATTTTTTTTTTAGTAAATCAGATTTTCGTAAGAACGCCTTTTCTTTAATGGTTGTGCTGACAAAATACCTTTTTCTGGAAACTACTTTGAAAAATAAGGCATTTTGTTAGCTGACAGCAGATTTTACTCAACTAAAAATTGTAGAAAATTTTAAAAAGTTGTATCTAATAAAAGTAAAAGTGATTGTTATGATGAGATTTTTTTATTATTAACTCTGGAAAATATAGTTAGAGGCTGAATATAAAATTAACTAAAAAGTAACTGTGCAATTCGTTTTATTTCAGTTCCAAAGCCCAAAGGCATAGCAAAAAGTTAGATCTAGCAGATGTAGGCTCTCTGGCTGCTTCTAGCCTACTACTACTGCCACTCATTCTAGACAGGGAATCTAGATTTAGCTATCTCCTGCACTATTCAAAAGTCAAATATTTGGTAAAATAAAAAAATAAAAAACTGTGAATTCTTTTGTCAGTCAGTACATCACAAATGCCATAATCGCTCGTCTGATGCCGAAGCCACATGTTATCGCAGTGTGCAGGGGAGAGCGGGGGCGCCAGGGTTGCTGACCGGTCGATTGAGCATTTACTTTTATTAGTTTTATGCACTTTTACGGAAAGTCAGAAACTAATACATGTAGTGATTTTGTATCCAGGAATGCCACGAAAGTTTCTGCAGCAAGTTAGCCGAAAATAAATATAGAGATTGAATGAGTCTACAAGTACAAGAGCATCTCTCTCTCTCTCTCTCTCTCCCATCTTGGAAAATAGATTAGATCTATTAAGTTGCCTACCGACCGGTGCGTTGTGTGCAGTGTCTACCAATGGCAGTCAGTTCGCTGTCGGAATTGTGGAGCAAATTTACATCAGGATCGTACAACTCAGACACTCATGCACAGAAAACTGTAGAACATTGCTGTAGTGGGACTTCTTGTTCCAGAAGAAAAGGTGTGAATGTGTGTGTGTGTGTGTGTGTGTGGGGGGGGGGGGGGGTTATATAGGCCACATGTGGTCTAAATAAGGTTAGATGGTGGTGGGGGGGGGGGGGGAAGGGTCAGCTTATATAGGCCATATGTGACCTATAAGGTAACTTTTTTTCTTACAATATATGTATGTTTTCAATCTCATTTTCATTTGTGTTGTGTATTTTTATTATTATAGTTCTTAGTGATTTTTTGAAGTATCATACTTCTTTGAGTACTTCATATAATGTAAGGGTTCCCATAATGTAGTCTCTCGAAAATGTATGCTATTCCTTCAGCTACATATTTTGTGTGTGTTTGTTGTGTGTGAGGTTGTCTGTGGACGAGCAAGTGAGAAGTCGTTATTTGTGCTTTGTTAGTTAAAGAGATCTCTTTTCCTTTCCTTTTTGACGTCTGATTTAAAAACTCGTATACGAGTCGTACAATTTTGGTCTTTTGGTCATAACTTGAGTGTATGATATTGTTCAGAAATGTCTGTCTTTTGATGTTTTCCAAGGTAGTTGCAATTTATGGTGGTACGATAGGTTTTTGATTGAATGTGGAATCTGTTTGTACTATTGAGTGGAGTTGCCCTGCTTGATTTCACTCTTATTTTCAATTAATAATTTCTGTTGTTATTATTATTATATGAAAAATATTTAAGAGAGAATTTAAATCCACCTTCTGTCGTTTGAAGTTATTGTTTTGTGAAACCGTCTTGATTTCTATCTGTGTTGGTCATAGAGATAGTTTTCATTATGTTTCTTCATTCAGCACTCATGCTGGAGGTAATTAGACTCAGTAGAAGTAGAAGCTTTCATTTAGTGGTGGGTGGTTGATGGGTGCTCCGCTGTGTCTGCTCCTTCATTCCTTAAATACATGTATCTGTCATTATTTTCTCTCCTCCTTTTCTTTGTATGTTGTTACTCTTTAACAACAACTCTATAAACTTCAGCACTTACATGACCCTCTTATGTCGCAAGTGCTGTATAACTTTTACTAAAACTAAAAGCACAGAGCTATAAAGTACTGTAAGCTGAACAAAATATGTGTCACAACGGGGTGAAATCAGGTGTTCGTCTTTTATTAAGGCATTTGGAGATATTGCCGGTTTCCTAAAAACACTCGTCTATCTTGAATGAAAGTCAAGATTTGTTATTGGAGGAAGTGGCGACTGCTTGTTGTCAGATATGAAACTAGCGAGAAAATAGCAGTTTAAGTTCAGTGACTGCAAAAGCTTGAATGGACCGCTATAGGCCTACTTACAAACAAAGGGAAATAGCACGGGAAATGTTCTACCTGAAAATCTCTGGATTATGTCTACTTCGCACTCAAGCACACTTCGGCATTAAGCACGCTTAGATCTAATGTTTTCTCCCGATGACCGTGCTTAAAGCTGGTATGGACTGTATATGACATGTTTTTCCTTTTTTTGTACTAGTTTACATATTATATTTTTGCCCCATGTTTTAAGGACAAGGTAGATTCTAACAAGCTGCAAGAGATCTTTTCTGTAAACACTGAATCCAACAAAATATTACAAAGAACGTACAAGACAAAATTAGGGACCTTGAAAATCCTTTTGCTGTGTGCATGTTTTGCAAGGTGCGTGTTAGAATAGTTTGTGTTTTTCTTTTTGAGACCTGAATGTTCTGATGCTAAATGATTATATTTATTTCAAGATCGATGGCTGGGTGCAAGACTCCGACAAACGCTAATTATGAAAGTCTGTTTGGGATCGTTCACAAATGACGTCGGTGAAAACTTGACGAAAGTTGACATGGGGGGCCATATAAAGTCAACGTCAGCCATGATGCTCTTAAAGGTTGGGAAAAGAAAAGAAAGGAAGAAAAACTGTTATAGACCACATTTTCTTGGCCTAAAATCAACACAGTTAAATTGGACCATATTGTTATTTTTTTGGCCTAAAAACTTAACAGTTCTGGTATTTCTTTGTTGTATTCTTTAATAAACAGGAGTTTTTTGTGTTTTAACTTTAAAAAAGATCAAAGGTTTGAATATAAAATGCATCCTGTACAGCTTCTATCTAAAAATGTACATGTAGCCTAAATTTTGTTTGTCAACTGGAAAG